ATATTTTATATTATATTGAATAATATTTTATTTTTAATTATAAGATTAAAATCGCGCGCGCGTCATATGTGATACACCATGCAACACTGGTCTGCTGGTTAGATATAGATAGATAGAGTGAGATGATAGATAGAGTGAGATAACACATAAAGTCAAAGGCCCTCTATTATCGAAAAAACGAGATGGACATTTTCTCTGGTCGACGACGTTAATAATGATGACGACGTTTCTTAAAATTGAAACGTGAGAATTCACAGATCCGGACTTTGCGTCGCGATATCTCCGCTCGTAGGGCACGTAGGAAAAAAATGAAAGCACTTTTATTATACAATTTAAGTATTTCCTGTCGATTGAGCGTATGTAGAACTTGATCGGTTCAGCCGTTACTGAGATCTGATCATCTCGACCCCGAAAAATCTCCGTGTCGCGTAAAGGAGGCACGGCAGTGTCGCGCGCTTGGCTTAGCGCCGAGACACTACCGTGTCTCCAGATACGCCATTAAGTCTTTTAAAAACGGAGATCCATCCATTTGTACTTTAAACTTATTGAAATGGGATATATTTCTTTTATAACAAAGTCTCTCACAAGATACACAAACACATCGAGGTGTGTCCATGGTACGTTTGGTGTAAGCCTTAAATGCATTCTTAAATGCAGAAAAAATTTCTTTTTCACTCAAACTAGTATGAGTTTGCTCATGTCTGTACATACGTTTTGCTTTTTCTTCTGCCAATGTTATCATTTCATTCAATGTATCTAAATCAGCAGAACATAAAGCCTTCTCTAGTTTTAACATCTGTTGATATAAATTTCTTATTTGATAAATTAACCGTTTGACATCTAACTTTTGGGAATGAGGCGATAATAAGTTAATGGGAAGAGATATTGCTTTGCAAACAGTTATATCAATGTAACAACTATGCGTGTGACCCAACTTTTTATTCGGATTTGTTTTTATTGTACATTCATGAATCTTTTGTAATAATTGTGGAATTTTCTTAAAAGTACATATATTTATCGATTGAAGGACTTTTTCATAACAATCAACCAGAAATGGATCATGAATTTTACATAAACTATTGTCGCATAACCATGATTTTTTTCCTTGTGCTTCTATCAAAGGTAATACATTCATAATTTGACCTTCCATGTTCATTACCAATATTTGTGATGAAGATATATACCGATATGTACCATCGATAAAATAATTTTCAGATGCAGCTGTATGTTTTGATTTGCCACAAAGTGCACATAATTTTTCGTCAATGGTTTTGCATTTAGTAGCAAAACTCAAGCACACTTCTGATTTCTTCTTAAGCAAAGCTAATATTTTGTACATATGGCGAACGTAACTATCTCGAATTTGTGTACAGCGACGTACAATTCTTTCGGCTTCCAATCGTTTTTCAACGTGATTTTTAATATCCAATTTGTTAAAAATATTTTCAATTGCCGCAGGATTATTAAATTTTATATAATTTTTTGACCTAAGTTTTTCATTTTTTCTGATATTTTTGGCAGTATTATGATTTTTTTTTAA